TGAGGTATGAGCAGATGAAGCTATCCAATTATATACACACCTCCACTGCATTTTAGTTCCTCAAACAATCTACAATAACCACACTAATACAGGATCTTTTTGCAGATGCTGTATGACGGTTCCCATGATCTGGGATGAAGAGGAGCAATACCAGTAACGATGTAGGTCACTTCAGTTGGTGTTATAGCACCTGCGACGCTACTCGCAGTCAGTTCACCTGGAATTTATTGAAACATTGCAATGCTGTCAGGCACACGTGCTAAAATTAATTTGCTGTCTCTCAGACAAAACCTCTTCATCTGCCACTGAAGCTCCTTCCCCCTTGCCCCAGTCTGCCCTGCAACCAGCAGTCTCTGCCTTCACCCTGGCTCCCACCAGCCCGAACCAGGAACCGGGGCAGCTGCAGCAGTCCTTGCAGCTGGCACTGCAAGGAATGATACAACTGTAAGAAACCTTGCATCCCCCAAGACCTTTTTCCCATAGAAAATAATTTGACTTTTGGCATTTATTTTTGTTTGAAATAATGTAGGGGAAGCATACTTGAACCATAATTGCACACAAATACTTCCTGTCAAGCGAGACAAGAGAAACAAGAAAAAGGGAGGCAGCATGATCTTCCCTACTTTTTTTTTTTCTTTTCTCCTCTCTCTGCTTTCCAGCATATCAAGCAGAAGCTACAGCACGCCAGAATGGCACTTCTGGTTCAGCCGCCTCCTTTCTCCCCACGCCTCCCTGCTGAATCCCTCGGAGGGCAGCTGCAGGCTTCCTATTCCCCTGCATACATCTTAGTCTCCTCCTAAGTTCTTTCCTACCAGCAATCCTTGCCCCCTCCCCTGTGTTGTTAACATTTCCTATTGCTTACTTTTAAAAGCCGCCTGTTTCTCCATTGCCTAGTATCCCCAACTAATCTAAGTGTCTTGCTGTAGGGGTTAAAAACCAGCCAGAAGTCTGGCATTTTGTAAGTAAATTAAAATTAGGGGGAGAAAAGGACAATTACTAGTTTACTCTGTGGAGCTGGCCAGCTTTCAGATGCATGGGGAAAAATATGGGGATGAGACAGAAGATGAACGTTTTTAATAAGAATACATTTTCTATTCACTAACAGAGAAGATACTAGCGCTGATGTAACTCCTCCTTGCCGTACTGGTAAGGAAACTTCTAGGAACAATACTGAGTTTAACTGCAGAAATCTGGGAGTCTGCTTCAGTATTAGGTACATCAGCTCTGGCACAACTCCAGTGAAAAAACAATTTAAAGTACGTTAAAAAAAAGGCAAAAAAAATAAAAAGGCAAGTGCTTTTAATCATGGAATACTAAACAATCAGTGGCCCTGTGTGATCTTATATATTTTTATACAACTATGAATACTTTTATTTGTCTAGAATTCTATTTTTTGGTCATTTTTTCACTTGTGTCTGCTTTTTTTGCCATTTATGACTTCAGCCCTTCAACAAAAAGCCACAAGTTTTGCAATAACGATACCATTTTGTTTCTGGTCTTTCTAACTCCTTCCTGGTGAGGCAGCCTGTTTTCTTTATGGTTTTTTTTCATGAACTAAGGCTCAGGAAATTCTCATATGATGTGCATCTCAGGGGAAGGGGCATCTCTGTTTATCTACAGGATGGAAATTGTTTAGCCTTTGTGGTTTCTGAAAGATGTTTGTAGACAACATGGAGCTCAAAATACAGCCTAATCCACAGTGAAATATTAGTTCTCCTTTCCTGTCAGCTTTCCTAAACCAAGATTTCGCCTCGTCTGTGAACATTCCCTTGAAGAGGGCAGCTTGGATGGCTTCCATGTCCTAACTCTTTGATTTGTGGCAGCTAAGATCAAGTGGGAATAGAGCTTGTTACAGTAATCCATCAGTGGGATAACACATGCAGGAACATCCCAAGGAGGGAGACCTTGGGCGTCACGGGGAAGGTTAAGGCTATAATTTCTCTTAATGTGATTTTGTCCAGCCTTTTCAGAATTTCATCCGCTTTGGGCAGGGCCGTCAGATCAGTAAACCACAGACTGAAACACTGCGCTCAATTTTGTACACTCTTAGACCGAAAATTTTTTTATAAATGACAGCATTAGGTTAAGCTTTCTTCCACTTTCTAAGACTGAAAAACAGAAGCAGAAGATTCACTTGAGAGTACACCATACATGGTGATGTGGACTTTGGAAAACAAGGCCTCTTCTCTTTTACAGTGATTTTCATTTTAGTGATTAACTTGGTCCCAATCTAAAAAAAAAGGGAAATAACTTCTTAACAAAGAGAAGAAGCAGGAAATGAGAAACCAATATACCTAAATGTTAAGAGATGAAGAATCACTCAAAGAAAAAAAAAGGATAAAAAAAAATTAAAACCTTCCAAACATGAGAAACCAACCTCAGTGAAGACAATAAAACAGAGCCTAAACATAGGCTGTACAAGAGGAAAATTAGGAGAACCGAGATGGAATCCAAAGAGCAAATATCTAAGGATATAAAACAAAAGCCACAAATTCCTTTTTGGTATCCAAAAACATGAAAATATGTAGGAGGTCCTGGATCACTGGGGATGAAAGAAACTGGGGAAGTCAAAAGTTAGGGAAGGGAAGCAAGATGACTTCTCTTCATCCAACTTCACCACAGAGGATGCTGGGGAGAAACCTATTCTGGTACCTGCTTTTATTTTCCTTTATTTTATTTTTTAATAGATGTGAACTAATAGCAAGGTTGGAATACTTGCTAGCAGAAACAAATGTGTTGGAGGAGGACGATAGCTTACTAAGCAGTAAACAAGCAGAAGACATGAAATCTGACAGCAATCAAAATAAAGAAATTGAGCCACTGGCTAAAATGAGTATGCTTTCACTACACTTAGTAACTGAAAGAATCAGAGGATAGCAAAAGTTTCACCTATCTTTACAAAAGCAGCAAGGTTGATTCAGAAGACTGTAGAGCTCCAAGCTTTATTACTATACCTGGTAACCTGGCTGAAAGGATGAATAACAGGAAATTAAATACATCAAAATAATCATTAGATTCTGAATATGTTTATAAAATAGTGGACAGATAAGAGCAAGCAAAGAAAATTAGACTTTCAAAATCTTTACAAGAGCCCTCATGGGAGGCCACCTGTGAAGTGTGAGGTTAAGAGAGCAAAAGAAAAGAAGGAGTACATATTGATTCTCATCTGGTGACAGGGTTAACAGCAGGTGTCTCATGGTTTGTACTTTGTATTTCAAAATTATCTGGAAACGAAGAAGTACACCGAGAGGTTAAAATCTACAGATGGCAAGAAATTATTCAGATTAGTCCTGATTTAAGATTATTAAGGGTTTGAGAGATAAGCAGTAAATCTGCTTCAGCAGATCATGGTCATTACTGTAGATCGCAATGAAGTGCACACCGCAGGCAGTATTGGTCTCCTTTCTGCATCGGGCTGAGTTCCGAATTGTCCGATCAGCTCAGGAGACTGCCTGGATGTCCTTGTGAACTGCCCAAAGACAACTGGCCTCAAAAGGATAGCAACAGTCAAAAAACACAAAGAAAACCTCAGCACATCTAGCAAAAGATAGCACAAGCAGAACAGACAAACGCAGCAGGCATACAACATTTATAAGTTGAGGCTGGAATACTGTGTTTGCTATTGTTTAACCCATTCTAAAAGGTAAGATGGAGAAACAGCGTGGAAATCGTCTCAAAAAAAAGATGTAAAAGGATTATTTGAGACTTAGACAAGGATTTGAGCAGCCTGGTTTAATTTGGTCTTGCACTGAAAACAGTGATGGGCCAGATGACCTTCAGAGGTCCTTTCCAACCTAAGTTATTCTATGAAATAGAGAGGTAAAAAAAGTTTTGACTGTTCAATATACTCAGACAGTAAACCCTGAAATTGACCAATTCAACAGCAGACACAATTAGATTATGAATTCATTGTCACAAGAACTGCACTAGGAGCCAATATAAGATTTGATTTTTGCAGTTTTTTAAAAATTGTATTATACAGGGTCACCCCCAATATCCAAACAAGGTGGCTTTTGGAAAAGAAATCATTCCTCTGTTTGATGCATATAATGAGTATTATGGCTCATGAAATAAAATTTTTCTAGGAGAGATCATCCTCCTCCTTCAAAGCTTCTTGTGTTCTCCTTTCAAGCAGCTGGTATTGGCCACTGTCTGAATCAAGACATTCGGCTAGATGGATAAATTATTTCCATTTTCACAGGAGACATGACTCCAAACCAGAATTTTCATGTTTGTTATCTCCTGATGATATTCTGTCATGTTTACTCCGTTAATCAAGTAATGTACTGTTTTTAAGGGTCATTCATGAAATCTCATGCTCTGAGAGCTTCAAGAGAGAGGTTACAGGGTTTCTATCATGCCTGATAGGAGCAGTAATAAATAAGCTGTATACCAAATTGAGCCACTGACCAGACCTATGCGTTCACCAAGGGATTACCACTTTTTAAAAAGAGGTGTTGCCACAAGTTTTCTTTGTTTCTATTTATCTTCCCTAACTCCTAATCATCAAAATTATTGTCAGGAGGAGGACAGAAAAGGAATTAAAATATTTCAAGGACACCTTGATTCTGGAAACAATTTTATTACCAAAAAAGTTTATTCCTTCCATTGCCCTTAAAATACAATCAGGCATCTGCCTTAAAAAGAGGATTCCCCTAAACCACAGAATAAATATATTTGAAGATACTGGTCAATAAAGTTTTAACCTGAAAATAGTTCCTAATAGTTATATACATTGATAATGTATACTACATTAAAATGGCTGTCATAACGTGGCTGCCTATTAGTGCATTGATGAGGAAACCACCTGACAGACAGAGACAAAGCTCAGAAGAGAGAATACTAGCATCTTTGAAATTCAGTGGGAATGACACAACGAACCCACATTCATACAAAGTGCTGTGACCAAGGAGGAACAAAGCAAAGAATAAAATAAAATGTTAAATATTTCACTTTAAAGAGGGTTTTTAAAAACATATATATTTACCCACTAGACATACCTTGGCTGACCTAGTGATGGCCCCAATCTCTGAATAAAGATCAGTGCTGTCTGGGAACTTTTCCACCACCATAGTGCAGACGTGGTGCAAGAGGGACTGCTTGTGCACCGTGTCCTTGACTTCTGGAACCTTCTCGAGGTAGCTCAACTCAAAAGCTTTGGCCTGTAAAGGGGAAAAAAGGGAAAAAATTAGAAATTAAAACATTTACTCTTTCCTGTGGAGATCAGTAGACAAAAATGATTATCAAGTAAGGGCAGAGGGGAAAGAAGAAGAAGAATTCTACAGGAGAAGAAACTTATTGCTTTTATTTATTTTTAACTTGCCAAAGAGTAGTCCTAAAATCACTTCATTTGCAGTGAAATGACTCATGACACAGTTCTCACAATTTGAACGGGGAGCATCAACACTAAACTCAAGGGAGTTAAAGCAGAAGAGTGCCTAGCTCCACATTTCCTTCAGGTTATGCTGAAAGAGGAAAATAGCACCCTGACACACAATAAAAAGTAGGTTCTGTTTTTCTAAATTATTTTTCTGGTACAAAATAAATATTGGCTTGCAATTGTCATAATGGTTTTGACTTTTGGGTTTTGAAGGAAAAAGCTGCCGGGGAAATGCTGGCACATCAGGCTTACGTTGGTTCCATTCAGGAAGTTCCCAATGGCTAGTAGAGTAGAAAGGATAAATCCCAAAGTTTTATTGTGCTCCAGTTGGTCCATTCCTTCCTTCAGGTCTAGAAGTGGTTCTGCAACTTCCTGCCATGAGAACAGAAACAAGAAAGTGAAGGCTGCAGTTGGCTATAGCTGCTCTAAGTTTTTAATTCTATGGTTTAGATTAATTACTGCAAAAAGTTCCTGAACTGGCGTCTTGCAGAGTGCACACTGGCCATGTGTGCTGGCTTTCTTCCATGTTCCAGCTAATAAATCACATGCAGGGACAGCAAAAAAATACATAAAATACTTTCCTAATGTTGCTTCTTTATGTATGCAATTGCCTTACTTGTCCTGGGGATTATTCTGTGATTCCAAACAGGAGAGAGAGAATCAGAGAAGGGGCTACTGCATTTAAGTTAGATGCATGAACATCCCCCTGCCCCAACTGATAAAAAAGCTTCTTGTAACTATTTTTTTATAATCTTTGAAAAACAAACAAAACAAAGTTAGAACCCTGGCTGACTTGACATTTGTAGCCTGACCCTAAAGCTTTCTTCAAATGATGGCCACCTCTGAGTTTTAGATATGGTTTTGTGCTTGTGTAACTTTAAAACTGGAAAAAAACCCTTCAATGCTAACATCAAGCTTTACAAGTGTTCTCATTTTAATCTTTTAACTTAATGCATCTTCCATCCACACATGTTATCTGAGTATAGGTATGTAAACTGATAAGGCTTGAAAACATAAATTCTGTTCCATTACCTTGGGAAGTGAACTACACCAGAGAGTTCAAAGGAAGAGAGCAAAGGTAATTGCGTTGACGGAGCTTATTTCTATGTCTTTGTGTGAGGCCCAGGGTTATTTATTTTGTATGCACAGTAACAGTTCACATTGTTTCTATCTCCAAATGCTATCCTAAGCAGCCGTGAGCAGCATTCTTTTCCCAAATTATTACACTCTTTATGAGCCAAGAAGCCAAAATTAAGCTGTTATTTTAGACCAAGAGGCAAAATAGCTGAGAACTTCACTTTCTTGAAGAAATACAAAGGGTCATTCAGCAACTGTAGTGAAATTTTACCATAAATAAGAGCACAAAGATGAAGGAAACATACATTTCTAGTCACTACAGAACAGTTCATCTCTTGAAAAGAAAAGAATATGGCAAATTGGAGACAAATTAAGAGATGGCATAGTGAGCAAAGTAATTTATATATCAGAGGAAAGGTGCTAAATAATCCAAGACTTCATCAAGTTAAACTAAAATCATTAAACTGTTGCACAGAATTCTTTGAATTACTTTAAAGTTAGGGTTGATTTAATTTGTTTTGTTGCATTATGGGGATGAATCAAAGTGCTCTGCATCTGCTATACCCACAGGGCTTTGAACTATTTCACTTGTATCACTTTGCAACCTGTTAAAAAATAATTCCTAAAAGGTTAATTTAAAACATTCTGAAGGTGAACAAAAAGGTAGCATAAAAGGCTTCCAAAGCAGACCATACTGTCGCCCTTCATTTATTTACATGGAAGTTATCCAAGCTTAAAACTTTCTTGCATATAATACACATTTATAATTATTCTTTATTTTTTATTTTATTGTAGCATTAAAAAATAATAAAAATCAGTGTGCTATCATCAGATGAAATACCCATTCTTGCCCCCTATAAAACTCACCTTCTGCCTAAAGAGGGCAGATACATAAAGCAGAGCTACATCATAGCCTTAAATATCGTGTATCCTTATTTACCATGTTTTTATTTTTCACCTAAAAATTATGCTTGAATGAAATGTGAGGATTGGTCCAGAATTTCTGGCTGCAAGACATCTGATAATGCCTGATAACTGTTTGGCGCACATGCACAAATGAAGTCAACTATACCTGTGCAATGAATCCACTGGGCCTGGGACAGGGAGAACGTAGCACACGTGTTCTCTACAGCTGATCTGGCGTATGCATTGTTACTGACCTGCTATACTGGCAACAAGTTCAGCTTACTGCACCTATACAAGTTCACATGCATGCTTTTCTGGGAGGAGTAAAAACTTGGTTGGGATGGGAACTTTGTGATGACCAAAATGTAATTTGCCATATTTGCATTTAATCAAGATTGGCCTGCATAAAGTATCACACCCTTTTAAAACAACAGAAAGTATCAGGATCATACTGCAAAACTTAAAAAGCTCTGATGCACTTTTTAAATTTTTCAGACAGTTCAAGCATCACTCAAAAGTACAATCTTTTTGAACACTTATTTCTCTAGCACATTGTCTCCAGGGAGACTAGAGTCAGGAGCAATCTTTTTGCTCAGAAGAGAAACTGAAGCAGGCCCTTTTCTTTACCAGTTCTGCTTTTCTCATTTCTACACCTGCTTATATTCATTTATGATCCTTTAAAGTTGTCGGCAATAAGGATATATTTGCCCACAGTGACCTTAAGAAAAAAAGTATCTGATTTAGGACAACTAAAAATTCTATTCCTCCTTCTAAGGCCTTTAAACTCCCTTTAAGATAATGAAGTTTGACAGCATCTGCATCAGAAAGAGTTCTGTACAAAGAACGAGCAGTAAGATCTTGTAATTTTTCAGAGCAATCAGAAGTCTGAAAATGAAAATTTAAAGTTGAAACTCTACCTCTTTTGTCTATGCCTTTAAAATATGATACCAAAAGAAAGGTGAGAAAAATTATTGTTCCACTGATTACCTTCAGTGGGCATAAGGTACCTTAGATACATGTTAACATTTCAAAACGTTATGCACATTATCGAACAGATTATTTGGAAAGGGTTTTCCTTTTTTATTTTCTGTAAAGGGCAAAGAATGAGATTCATTCATCCAGTTCAGCCCCTTACTGTCTGAGGCTGCTCCCTACAAACGTACCCTGACTGGCTTTAGTTAATTAAATTCAACCCAAGAAAGATGACTTCCTTCATTATGCCTGCAAAGCTTTTCTACAAGCATGAACAATATCTCACTTAACCCTTTTCTTCAACAATTTCATGCTGTTTTTCTTTCAGGTTGCCAGAGATGGAGCTAAGACCTACTTAGGCAAAAAATCTGTTCTTGGCTGATTAGGAAAAGAGTCTTATGAATAGGAACCCCAGCCTTACATCAACAACTCAAGATATTTCACACTGTTGATATCATGGACCATCTAAAACTTCCAGCCTCATGGTAATAATAGGAAGGTTCACTCATTTCTTACATAAAATATATGTGTGACTCCATAAATAATATGAGTGCATTCTGAACCACTATGAATTTTCCTACTTTTAAAACAGATTTTTAAAAAATCAAGCAAATACTGGACAAAAAAATGACAAAAAGTGTGGACGTAAGTGATTTGGCACCTCGGTTTCATGAAAGGTTTGCCCATTTGCAGATGGATTTTCTGCAAAAACATAGTTTCAAGAACAGAAGAATGTTAGCAGGTCATGGGGCTCTTATTATCATAATCATTAATGCAAACTACTTCATTTTTTAATTGGATATGCTCATGGTATGTTATCTCAGTTTAAATAACGCTTAGGTTTATTGGTTACTTGGAACTTAAACTCTGAGTTTAACCTGTTGTTACTGGAAAGACCCAACTGCTTGCTCTCTTGAACCTCTGATGTCTGATCCCATACTTTCCTCTTCACCCAACTAAGACCCAAGCCGTCTGTCATATCTATGCTTGTCTGCTAGGCTTCTTATCACATGCTCCTCTTACTTTATCCGTTATCGTACGTTATTTCCTGTACCGTTTTACGGTAGGTACTGTACTTAGGCCTATCTACCTTTCAACAGGGATAAAAATCTTGGTCCTGTATTCACTCCAGCTATCGCTTCTTTGAGTAATTTAGGTATTTGAGACTTTTTATACTAACATCCATTCTACATGGATTTTAGCTGAAATTCATTAACTTAATGTGGCATAAACATTATAGGATCAGCAACAGGAAAACTATCAGAATTTCTTTAGCTTTTAGCAGTGCTTCAAATGTTACTTTTTGATTGAGAGGAAGCTAGAAATTCTAGGTATAGACATAGATTAACAGCTACAGCTAACTCAGTTCACATGAAAGGAACAATTTAGCCTTGTGGTAACTTCAAAGCAGAATAAATAGCTGTACCAGAGTAAAAAAAACTGGCAAAAACGTATTCAGGCCAGATACAAATATTTTATGTTTTACAAGTCAGAAATGTAAATGTCGAGGACTAAAATGTCACAATTAAAAAAATCCTGAATATTAGTGTGATTGCATTTCCTAAAATCTAAGAAAATTAACCAGAGGTTGAGTAATTTTGACAGTATCATCTGCAAATCAATCCACTGTCGTATAACTTGTTAAATAACCATGGCTAGGTAAACATAAGGCATTTTCAGAAGCACGTCCCACAGAATCCATATCACACAAAGTTACACTGATTTTTTTTAATATACACATATGTGCATAGATACACATACAAAATTAATATATACAGGAGAGAGCTGCCTGAAGAGCATGGGTTATTCACCAGAAGCACAGCCAGGAGGTTCCTGTGCCGAGATTCCTGAAAGAGCTCGTGAAAGGCAACAAATAGTTGAAATTGCCTACACAGTTTCATTCTGCTTCACCTATGCACAAATTATACGCTGTCATTTTGAATTTTTTGTCTGTGATTCATCATACGTGACAGACAACCCAATTACAGTGTTCTCCGAATAAATGCCATCCATGAAGAAGGTGGCAACAACTGTCTGTGACAGAAGTGAAACGAGCACTCCTGAAGGACGTCTTATCTTTTGTTTATAGCTTTGAAAGAGAGTTATAAACAGAAATAACTTTAATGGATGGTGTTTTCCTTAGTTCAAATGGATGCAAGATCAATACTCTCATTTTACGATGTAAGGCTGAATACTGTAGTCCGCATTCAATCTTTATCCAAAGAAAAATTCTTACTGCTCTGAAGTAAGAATTTCCTGAATAACAACATCTGGAGAAGATGTGGTAAGGATCTAGCCCTCTTCTTTGTTCCAATATCATTACTGCCTAATTAAAGGAAGGAAGACATAATCTCTAATTTTCTTTTATAAAAGGAACAGATTATGAAGGATCATTTTAGCTGTTCCCTGGTTGGCCACCGAAACAAAAGCGACCCATTTACCGTTTCCTCAAAATATATGCTCATATAATAACAAGGTCAGGGAAAGATTAAGCAAAGCCTGGGAAGAGTCTCCGCCCCTGCCTCCCTGCCTTCCCCTCACCTTTTCCACTATCTCGTAGTCCATCTTGAAAGCCCAGAGCTGGAGCCTGGCAGAGAGTTCGCTGATGGAGGAGAGGGTGAGAAGGAACTGCTCGGCGCTGCCCAGGGGGACATCGGGGTTCGCCAGCTGCGCCTCCTGGATCTTCTGCTTCTCCTCCTCGGTTGGGATCATGGTCAGGATTTTCTGCGAAGGGAGACAAAAGGCAGGCGTCAGCGGCGGGGCCTAGGGGCGCGCAAGGGCTGGACATAGTGGCATGGCGATGCTCCTGTGGCAAGCGCTCTTGCAGCGCAGGCTCACGCGACGAGCTTTGGTCGGACTTCGCCTGAGCTCCCATGACGCTGGGTGACTTTTCAGCAGCAACGGCAGAAGTCCTTAGTCACTGGCTGGTAAATTAGGATGGCACTGTAGTAACCAAGCACTAGCCCACCGCACAAGAGAGCAAAACGAGACCTGCTACCTTGAACATCTGCAGCTGAAAACCACATCTGTATTAACATTCATTTTTTAAAATCTGTAGTCAGTAGGTATGCTTAATCATGGGATCAAACACTGAAGAAAGACAAGGCACCTGGTTAGGACGGCTCTCCTCAGCTTTTATATCTTTAAATCAGAACTGGCCACCTTTCTGCAAATTACATATGAAGTGAGGGTAGAATGAGGAAATCTTTTGGCCCATGATTTACAGAAGGTCAGACTGGATAGCAGATCCTTTTTAGCCTCGACATCTATGAATCTTCCAGTGCACTTGTAGGTATACAGGCATAACTTGAGGATTCCTGTCCCTTGCTGTTCTCATAATGTATTATTTTTTGTTCAGTCTGCTTTGTTTTTTTATGAAACATGACAAGTATTGCAGCCTATTAGGTCACTCCCAAAAATCGCACCCGGACTGAGGACAACTTCCCAAGGAACACGCATTAATTTAAAGTAGTATTATGCATTGCATAACACATGGCCTGCTTCTCTTTTGATCTGAAAAGTCTAAAATATCAACGAAAAAGGATCTCAATATTTTCAGTTTCTGCTGTCAGTATGGCTCAAAACATTTATATTTTCCCTTTAATTCTTAGATTTTACATGCTTGTTCACATGTGGCAGCTTTCCTTCTCAAAGTATTGCTCTCTAAGGTATTGCTTCTTAATTAGTTTTTAACATAACAAATGCATTTTAAAATGAAAAAGAAAAGCAAAACAACATAAAAGCATCAGATAAGTTGAGGTCTTTACCCTGATGATCAATGCCTCATTAAAACAAAGCAGTAGATTTTCAACATAACTTATGTTTATTCATCTGAAGAACGACATGTTTTTGCTGCAGCTTTCTATAATGATAGAGGCTGTTTTGGAGGGGAGGAGAGAATAATAAAAATACAGCCAAAGAACTATCAGACCTGCCAATCCAAACTACAGCCTTGTTCCAGCACTGGACATAGCCAATTCATCAAAGTAGCACAACTGCCCCCTTCCAGTACCGATAATTCATCTGGCTCCTTGTACAGCACTGGAGCTAAGTGTGGAGAACAAGGGACCTTTTCTGGTCAATCAGGCAAAGAACAAGAGTTAAGAAAGCAAATAATATTCAATTTGTTGAACTGCGACTTATTTCATTTCAGCCACAGCATTTGTATTACTGCCCATCTTCTTATGCTGACTTCCACAAACATAAATAAAGAAGCATTTTTTTCTGTTAATGTTGGCTCTGCCTTTCAATTAAAAAAAAAAAAAAAAGCCTCCTTGCTTGGACACTGCAAGCTTCTACCTTAATAAATTAATATCCTAAGGAAAAAGAAAGAGGAGGAAAATTCCTCAATACACTCTGGTGCTTTTCCTTCCCGTGTCAATGACTGTTTGGAAAACATTCTCCATTGCACACCTGTTCTGACTGATAGCATTTCTGTATTGATTTTGAGATGTGCTACCCATCCATCTATCCATCCACACGCTGAAATCTGTAACTTAGGGCATACCTAACATCAAACTAGAGATTTATAGATAGCTGCTTCAGGACATTTCTCAGTGCTTAACCAATATTCATCTAAAGAAGTTTGTAAAAAAGAGAGACTAAGTCTGAAACTCATAAGAAGAGGTGTTTGGCTGAGTGTCCCTTGAAGAAGTCAGGCCTCCTAGTGCCTACTCCTCTCTTCAACAAGAAGCCAACACCCCCTCAGCTGAGCCAGGGCAGCTTGCAAATCGGATCATATGAACATCCATACATGGAGAGTTTAGCAGTAGCCATGTGATGGATGTAAAAATGCTTCTGATGCATTTTTGAAGGCTAGCACTTCAGCAGTATTCTCAATTGCCTCCTACAAATAACTAGGGCTTTTGGTAGCTACCCAGGGATCCCACAAGTATTTTGTGGTGGTGCAGGGCCTTCACTCCAGAGATTTTGCACTGCTTTTGGGCAGTTTAAAGAGAGCAATGAAATAGTAAGCTTTATTTCCAAAGGGACTCTCCTCCTCCTCGAGCTTTATGTAAACACCACAAGCCAGATGGAGCTGACAAAAAGCATTCGAGTCCAAGTACTGCAAGGCTGCTGCGCTGCGTACCGTAGTATGTGAAACAGAGAATGCCAAGCCTGTACTTGCGGTGCCAGCTGCTGAGGATCACCCCTGCTGCTGAAAGCCCTAACTCGATGGGACCAGAGCTGCTGGCAGGTCTCACATCATCCAGTGTGCAACTGCCCCGGTAACAACAACTTACTTATCAGCACTTTTAATCTGCTCGGGCAAATACTTCTGATCCTGCTGGTCATCATCCTTGGTATGCCCCTGAGCAAGTGGTAAAATGCTCCTCTTCTTGATTTCCACTCTATGACTAATATGAGCCATTTGTGCAGTGCTGGAAACTGATGAGTACACCATCTGCCAGTTTATTATTATTTTCATTATTATTTTTTTTAAGCATCACTGACAGTAGAAGTAGCATAAAAACACAGCAGGGAAGAAGGTCACTGGTACTTGGTGTGACCATTAAATCACAAACAGCTTTGAATCTAATCATTAGTTCATAACGCTCTCCCTAGTACGGTCGCTTAAAGAAGAACTGGTTATCAACAAACCCTATGCTCATATCCTCTAATATGTGTGATACACGCATTTCATCTCCATGCATTCTCACCCAACTGTTTGGGCCAGAGACTAACATTCTGAGGAAAGCCAGTGCACAAATCTTTTCACGGAGAAAAAGAAGTAATTGTTGGAGATCCTGTTCTCATGAGATAATGAATCCTAATTATTCTGCTCCTGCACTGCTGGACCCAGCCACTTGCTTGAACTTTCAGCGAAGGGATCAAACTGTTTATTTCCTGGACTCAGCCACCCTGATGTATGATCTCCAAAAATTTCTAAGGGTAAAGCCTTACAAGGTTCACAGGGCAAAATTTATAGCCCCCATATGCCTGAGGGTTATGAGCCTCCGCATGGGACGCAAGGAAGCACCTAATCAGAGACTGCGAATAGCCTGGAGCCTCTGTGGAAATTAGGTGCTTAAGTTATCTCTTTCAAGAGATAATGGGGCTTCTCAGTGATGATGAAGTTGCAGGGGTGCTTTGCCTTTCATATTAGGTTTCAGCTGATTTTACCAGGCAAACAGGAGCCTGAAAAAAATTAGTAAACTAAATATCTGATTGTTGTTGGGTCCAAAGCTTTCTGTGGCTCAAGGCCCACAAATTTGTAAGGTGCATAACCAAATACCCATTAGTGGGTATTTCATCAGACATTTGACAGGCCTCGGCAGATGATTCAGCTCCAGAAAGGCTCTCACACTTCAGCTTTCCAGGCAGCTATTAATGAGACACATTGGTGGTTTGCATTACCTGCAGAAACTCTAACAAAATATAAAAGCATATGAAGGTCGGGACTCCACAGTGAGGCCACCTGCACTAATTATATTTCAACTCTTCCAAAAATGATCCAATTCTGAGAAGGGACTAAAATGCCCGACAGGCATTTCTCAGCTCTCTACTGAAATACATGAACATGCCACTGCCGGTCACAGAAACTGCAGAAGATGTTTTGGTGTGCTGCAAGGAGTGAAAGTGTAGCTTTTTTTCTTTAAATAAAGTCTGAAACTCATTAGGGCAGCGATACGGTGACCGTGGGCATACGGCCAGCAAGGCACCATTGAGTCTGTTCTCTCTTCTGTCTAGACTTGTGAAAAGAGGTGTTCTTTCAGGTCACATGAGCTAGCATAATTTGAAAGATCCCACCACACTTTTACAAAGTATTAGCTAAACAAATTGGAAACTGCAAACGCCAACGTACCGTGGCAACTATCAGAACAAAAACTTAAAATACCTTGATTGTTTCTGAAAATCAAATTTTGTTTTTTGTTTATACGTGTCACCATCTGCCTTTTTAACACCAGGCTCTCATTTCTTACCGTTTTTTACATCTCAGGGCTACCTAGCCACCCCAGACACACGGACTTCAAAGTACTTGACAAATGTGGGTATGGCATACCTGCAGAGTTTTTTCATTTCAAATAGTTTTACTAAAAGCTACCAATGCAATGCAATATTGTGTAGCATCACAAACCCATATCGTAAAGCACAAAGCAACCCACCTCCATTTCCTCACACCATTACCCCCGATTTCACTCTGCTAAATTAATCATACTCTTTGGTATAATTTGATTTCGATCCACATTCCCTTACTAAGTAGCACTTTACAGAGGGACTCACTCATTTCCTTTACTAAAGACAAGCACCAAGGACTGGTTTGGTGAACTCTATTCTTGCAGTTGCCTGTGATATCCTTCATTAAAATCAGGGCCAGGATTTTAAGCTCGCCGCTTTTGCTTAGCTAACAGAAAGCCCTCATCCATGCTAAGCAGGCAGTTCTTTATCCTGCAGCGAGCTCCAAGTTGTATGAACACAATGAACGCCAAGCTTTCAAAGAAAGGCAAACACAACCGCTTTGGCAAACGTAAGGTGGCAAAAATTTTTTTAGTTGGATTGATGCATGCTTGCAGACACACATTGTGCTTTCCTTTGAAATTATGTTTCTAACAGTGCCTGCTCTGCATACTAAATGGCCTACATCTGCCTTTCTAGCACCATGCCCCATTTTCTGCCCTTTTTCACAGCTCAGGGGGTACCTAACTACTTCAAACGCATGGCTTAAAATATGCAACATACTTGGGTACAGAGGGCTTTAAAATACCTGGAGAATTTCTTCTCCTTAGTTACATATTTGAAGCTAAAAAGCAAAGTATAGATTACTAACAAGAGTTAAATGGCACAAGCAAAGCAGCATTCAGCAGAATGTAGGACAGTAGTGGAGAGTTTACTGGGTCACTGTGAACGTGATGATGAGCTGGGCTATCACAAACTTGTAGCCTGCATCCCACTGCATCACTGCCTTGTTGCTAGCACTACTGTCAGCACTACTTTAGTCCACTGTCCTTAAAGGAATTGCTAAGGTCAGTTTTAAGATACCATTTAATCTGAACTTATTTCACAAGTACAGAACTAAAGCCACACGCACACTAACATAACAGTGACGGTGCTCCTCAGCAAGGGACATGGCACAGAGCTCACAGCCAAGGCAATGGATGGCTCAGGTGACTTGATACCCTGTTGGTGCCCTGCTCTGTGCTGGATTCCCTAAAAGCTGAAGATGATCCTCAATTATAGCTTCTATGAAATTTTAGCAGTGAATGTTAGGTCCTCCCTGCACCCATCATATCTCTTCTTCTGCTCTCCTTACATCTCTCTCTTCTGCTTACCAGCTGCGACGTCTCTTCTAGATAATTAACTATGCAGAAAGGCTTGAGTACCCACTGTGATGCAGTTTTTTACTTAGACCAATTCCATAATTCTTTTTCCACACCAGTCCTGCCTCATTCAACCCATAGTTTAGCTATAAATATATTATATAGCAAATAATTTGCTTTATTCTCTGCATTTTTATATAAGTGAAGCTGATACTTACACTATTACTGATTCATTCATCATCACTACCAATTATTTCCTAATATTTAGGAAACTGTAGATATGAACCAGAAAACTTTCTAAAAATCTAGACTGAAAAGACAACCCCTGTTCCCTCTAAGCTAACTCTAAGGCTAAAGCCAGATGGATACAGAGGAGAACAGAAACAGCAAACAAAGCTTGTCAACGCTGCAGATCAAAGGTGCAGTATGGAAAACTGAGGCAGGGCTCTCCTGCAAAACAGACTCACAATGATGCATTTCTGTATCTCTCTTTGCACCTCCTGGCCAATTCTGCATAGCTTAATCCAGCCCTCTATCTCTCTATAAACGTCTGTCTGACTCTATAACAAAATGCTGTAAGAAAAATCTGTAAATTGGGGATTGGGGAAGGGAATCTGAATTCAGTGCAGGGTTTTACGTGATAAGAAGTAAATAAATATGGAACATTGAAAAAAAAAAAAAAAGCTCTTTTCTCCATGAACATCACCCTTCCCAACCAATAAAGGCTTCCTCCCTCAAGGTGCAAAGTACCTGGGCTGTGCTCCATAGAATCACAGAATCATTTAGGTTGGAAAAGACCTTTGAGATCATCAGGTCCAACCATTAACTTAGCACTGCCAAGTCCACCACTAAACCATGTCCTCGAGCACCACAGCTACACAGTCTA